ACGGAGCGCACATACGTTTATAATCCCCGGGACGACGACAGTGGGGCTCTCTCTCTCTGCGGATCGACGTGGAGGTCGGGAACAAAAAAAATGCCGAAAAACACGCGTGGCAGACACGCGTGATAGACGTAATGCTCGCGAGAGGAGGGTGTGCGCTAGATGTCGACAAGACGACGGAGAGGTGGCTTGGCGGCGGCCGAGGGGGTCAAGGAGGGGGACCTGGTGGGCCTGGTACCAGGGTCGGGGGAAAAGGTAAAGAAGAAACGGCAGGAAGATACTCCTTCGCCGTCCCCGCAGTTGTAATTTATTTAAAACCGCTCGCCGTAAATATATCCTTATCATTTATTCAGAGGAACGGCGAAGCTCCTGCCGGGGGTCGCGGATGGAGAGGAGAGGTGGATGGGGGGGGAAGGCGGAGGGGAGGGAGGGTGTAAGCTCTGCGTTCCTTCTTACCTTGGCTCTACCCAGCTACCGTAAGAGCGACTGTACTTCGTGCTGTGCAAGGGCGGATCCGCGTCGCAAGGGCATTGTGTCTCGTCGCTAGATCGCCTCTTTTGTCTCGCAATTCTCTTGGAAGGTTGCGTAAGAATTGATTATGCGTTGCTCTTGTTAGCTCAGTGAAAAGTAGATACTTTGTCTTGGAAATTGCGTCTATGTTCTACTTCGATTAATAAAACGCAAGCTTCCGCATCGAAAGATCAACTCATTGTCAGGTAAAATGGTAAAGGAACTATAAATTTAGTCACCCTAACGATTGCGAGTACTTTTCAACCAGTTATCGATTGCTTCGCTCTAACTGGTTGTAAAGTAATCATCAATCATTAATCACAATCACACAATCGGTACAGCGTGAGTATTACGATTTAAAACAGTTTGCCACTTAAACAGAATAACAGATCATAATGACGTTAAAATGACATTATAAGAAATCGTAACTAATAAGATTATTAAAAGTGATTTTTAATAATCATATTGAAGCCATTTTGATGTTAAGACGATTTTTTGTTTTTTTTGTTTTTTTGGGCGGGGGGAGAGGTTAATTTATTGAGAGATTGAAATGTGTATTTAAAAAATTATTAATCGCAGTGTGTATTAACAATATCATATCTAATAATATATGCAGCTCAGAATCGTTTCCTGTCACTTTTACTACTCGTTTTAACTCCACGCTATATTCACTACCGGTGGAGCTGAGAGCGTTTAATGTTATTGAATTTTAAATAAAGATTTTAATGGAGTCTTATTACGCGGGAAACGCGACCTCGTCTAGGTAATATCGTAGTTATCGACGTCATTACTTATCTAGAAGCGATTATAGGATAAAAAACTAGATATACCTAAGTAAAATGGAGCACATAAATATTAAATAAAATAACTAAAGTGATCACACGCGTATATGTTCGACTGACTAACAGGCTGAAAATTCGTACGGATGAAAAAGGCGGACAAAAGTAAAAGATACGAGATAGAAAAAAATATTTTTAATTACGAGCTACGAAGCTAACTTTTATTTTTTACTTTTTATTTTTTTAGAAGAGTAACAGAGAGAGAGAGAGAGAGAGAGAGAGAGAGAGAGAGAGAATTTTAAAAAATTTGCAATATATAGTAAATACAAAAGTATTCGTATATTAGGAAGATCTTTATATATATTTAAGAATAAATAAATTAATTATAATAATTAATAAATTTTAAAACTTTCGCGAAAATAACCATTATTTATGATCTTAGAAAAAAAAAACTTTTAAACAAATATTTTTTGCGCGTCCAAATAATACAATTTTTCATTTTCACTTATTATTAAAATAGTATAATATATGTATATACAATATATATTTCTATTATTGAACATCATTTTCGATAAAATAACTTTGAGAAATAACATAATCTATTTTATTTTTACTAAAAATAAAGTTTTTAAAAAAGATGTCCACCTGTACGAATACTTTTAGCCTTTGCTGTATATATAATTTGTTTTTGTATTAATCGAGCGATAAAATTTAAAATACGTACGAGCAATTAATTAAGTCAAGGTTCAAGTTTATAAAGGAAGATACGGTCGACACGATTGCCTAAAAATCTCATTTCGTCTCAAATTATTGCTAAAATGATTACCCATAGCAGCACTCCTTTTTTTCCTCTGAAACGATTATTTTTTTATTCAAAGGCGCGAGCAGATGCTAGTCATCTTTGCGTCATCCCAGATAATCTGCGTCATCCCAGCCGTCACTCTTCCGTATACCATAACTCGACGTCGTAACTCAGTGCCTAGCAAACGCGTCGATAAGACAGGGGGGGGGGGGATGTACTAAGTCGCGCTTCGTCCATCACGCGAGCAGTAGTACCAGTGTGCACGTAGGTACATGCATTTGCATGTGTGTGTGCGCGCGCGGCAAGTAAACGAGCGCGCACGTTGAGCAAGGTGCACGGTAGACTACGCGGCTAATTGCCGCTAATTATCGCGCTTACCGCGGTTCGGCTCTTCCTCTCGCCGCCACCACCGTCGCCGTCTCCGTCGCCCTCCGCGCGTCGCCGCGGTTTGCCACCCCTACCCGCCCTCTTCTCCCTTAAGCCTGATACAACCCCCTCCCCCTCCCCCAGGCAACCACCTGAAATCCGTTACTCTGGCCTGCCGACGAACTGCATCTTTCCTACTCTCTCGCCGCCCACCCCACTAACGACCTAAATGCCGTGGGCTGTGTCTGCCCTA